GTTAACAGGATCATTAGCTGACAATTGACAAAAACTACAGACATGATGCAAGAATTACAAAGTGATACTGACATTTGTTGTAATTGATCGTAACTTTAATTTTTTTTTATTAGAAAAGTGCATTGATTAAAAAATGTAAAAAACGAGTCACTGCTTTTTACGCATTAACTTTATCAATCTGCCGACTAATCACAGCAGCAGCATGAGTTGCTTCCAGTGCTGTTCTTACAGAAAGGCACCAAAACAGCCGTATGGTCATCATGTACGCTCTCAAATGCAACCGTGTAACATTTTAACTCGCAAACTCTCAAAAAAGTTGTATATGCAAATTAGTTTTTCTTTTCTTCAGGTTCCTGCAGCCGGTGCAGAAGATCGACATGAACCTGACTGACCTGCTGGGGGAGCTGCAGCGCGACCCCTGGCCCGTCACCCAGGGCAAGAGGCCGTTGCGCTCGCTGGGTGTTGCCATGTCCATCGCTGTGGGCCTGCTGGAGGTGAGGAGGGGGCGGGGCTTCAGACAGATCAGGATGGCGAGGACATCACGCAGAGTCTAATAGATGTTTTTACCCACAGTGCGCCTTCCCCAACACTGGCGCCCGCATAATGACGTTCATTGGCGGCCCAGCGACGCAGGGGCCCGGCATGGTGGTGGGAGACGAACTGAAGACGCCCATCAGGTCCTGGCACGACATCGAGAAGGACAACGCCAAGTTCATGAAGAAAGCCACCAAAGTGAGTGAGAGCTGCACACAGACTGAGGCAGGGCCCTTTAGTGCTAAGAACATTTACTGGGCATTTATAAAAACACAGTAAGATGTTTAGTAAAAAAGAAATACATTCAGATTGACATCATTATTTTTAATATTTAGATTTTTCTGGTTCTTTAAAATTGGTAAGAGAGCAGAGGATGAACCGGAATCTTTAATGAACCTCACAGTTGTGTGTTTAATGTGTTGCAGCACTACGAGTCTTTGGCCAACAGAGCGTCCACTAACGGCCACATCATCGACATCTATGCCTGTGCTCTCGATCAGACCGGCCTGCTGGAGATGAAATGCTGCGCCAACCACACTGGGTACGTTGGTAATTCTGTCCTATAGGATCATTAGCGTCCCCTGTATTCAGTGGTGTGATGCTACAGGATCATTAGTGGCCCCTGTATTTAGTGCAGTGATGCTACAGGACCATTAGTGCCCCCTGTGTTCAGTGGTGTGATGTTACAGGATCATTCGCGCCCCCTGTGTTCAGTGGCGTGATGCTACAGGATCATTAGCGCCCCCTGTAATTAGTGATGTGATGCTACAGGATCATTAGCACCCCCTGTATTTAGTGATGTGATGGAACAGGATCATTAGTGCCCACTGTATTTAGTGATGTGATGCAACAGGATCATTAGTGCCCCCTGTGTGCAGTGATGTGATGCTACAGGATCATTAGCATCCCCTGTGTGCAGTGATGTGATGCTACAGGATCATTAGCGCCCCCTGTGTTCAGTGGTGTGATGCTTCTGGGTCATGCGCTCCTGTGTTGAGTGGTGTAGTGCTGCTTGATCATTAGCGCCCCCTGTGGTTGCTGATGTAACCCGACAGCGTCTCTCTTTCCTGCAGGGGTTATATGGTGATGGCCGACTCCTTCAACACGTCTCTGTTCAAACAAACCTTCCAGAGAGTTTTCACCAAAGACGTCCAAGGATCCTTCAAGATGGCCTTTGCTGCCACGCTGGAGGTCAAGGTATGGACCAGAAACACAGGTAGCCCCGCCCTCTGCTTACCTGTGTTGCGGGTTAATGAACCCTGCTATGTTTTATGTTGCAGACGTCCAGAGAGATCAAAGTATCCGGAGCGATCGGCCCCTGTGTGTCCCTGAACGCCAAAGGACCCTGTGTCTCTGAGAACGTATGTGATCACTGGCACAGCTTCGCTGCCCCCTACAGGCCAAGACAGAAACTACACAAACTCTTTTTATCACCACGGTTGGTGTTTGGGCATCGTTTCATGTGGGGCGACACAATATATCGTTTCAGCATTGACAATGCAAAGTGCACAACAGTCACATTGCAGGAACTCTGATGTGAAATGAGGCAAAATAACTTTTTACAACTTTTTTTTTATGACAAGGACAAGTGCACAGCCAGACCTGAGTGCCATCCAAAGCAAAAAAAGCTATTTACGATGCCTTTGGCAGTGCTGCACCATTAAAATTATTTTTAGTTTACAATGCAGATGCACTCCACCCACAAAATCTCCCCAACAATTTTGAAAATGTAATTGGATGTGTAGTTAGTGCTAATTCAAAAGCTGTTTCCACTTATAGAATATTTTCTGTGAAGTCAAACAAGAGTCAGAAAGTCAAATCCAGGTTATATTTTAGCTCGAACATGTGTGTGGTTGCTGTGTTTCACCTGTGGAGGGCAGAATAACTCTCTGACCGTGTGTTTCAGGAAATCGGAACCGGAGGAACCTGTCAATGGAAGATCTGTGGTCTGGATCCGAGCACCACACTGGCTCTTTACTTCGAGGTCGTCAACCAGGTAGGAACACCTGACTGGACTCTGGGATCATCTGCTGAGTGATGATTGATTGGTTGATGTTGACCAATCGGGGCAAAGCTCAGTTCAGATGTCAGCAAGTGGCTGTCATGGAAGTTTTACATTCAAACAAATGATCTGGAACAGCTGGATGCAACATGATGTAACGACAAGCTCTGGCTCAGGTCAACAAATTAAAAGCTACAATTTAAACGTTGGCACAGGTCAGCAAAATAAAAGCTCCATTAGAAGCTCTAGCTTAGGTCAACAAAATAAAAGCAGCATTAGAAATTCTGGCCAAGGTTGAACAGATTAAAGCACAACTTGAAATTCCAGCACAGGACAACACAATTAAATATAAACAACTAAAATAAAAACAGGTTAACTGACAGAGTAGCAAATATAAGGTCACTCACACTAAAATAAAATTTTAACTTGAGTCTGTATCCATTGGTTGAATTTATTATCATCATACATTCACATGTTATTTCTGCAGTTAAATTCTGCTGAGTTTAATCAAGATTTCTTAGAAGGACCAGCAGGAGGAAGAATCATGTAGGTTCATCTCACTCTTCACTGCTGCTCCGAGACGGATGTTGTGTTTCATTAGGATTAAGGTGTTGCTGGATCACAGGGAGTCCTTGTTACACAGATGGGAACGAACCCAAACTAGGGCATAAACAGGCAGCAAGTGTGTCAGCGTTCATCATTTTCAGTCTGTCTTTGGAGTCTCCACCCAGTTTCTCCATATTGCCTCCACATGAGGGCGTCCAGGAGGATCTAATCGGGTGCTGAACCACCTCAGCTGAGTCTCAGATCAGATCAGTCCACCTGCAGACCTCTGGGGACTAGTTAGGAATCCCGCCTTTAGTTTTAAGGTCTCATGAACTGAGTTTTAGTTTAAATAAATGTTGCTGATAATCCATCTAACCATTAATGAGATGTTTCAAGCAGACAGCTCTGTCCAAAACATTCAAACATCCAAACAAAGTGCTGTCAGACTGGGTCAGAGACGTTTATGTCCATCAGAAATAGTGTATATATTGTAGAAGAATGAACTGTGTTTCCCATAATGCACTGTGTCTGTCGCACATCAGCTGTTGGTCTCTGCCACTGTTTGGGCTGATGATGATGAGGAAGAAGCTGCAGCTGATCATGGTGGTGTTGGTGTTTTTGGTGATGATGGCAGGCGTGTTGTGGTTGTTGTTGTTGTTGTTGTTGTTGTTGTTGTTGTGCTGATGCGATTAGTTGCATCCATGTGGAGGGCGGAGCTCTGGGGGCGGGACTCCAGAGACGTGTCCGAACACGGAAACCTCTGAATCAACCTGCGGAAGCTTCGACGAACCGCAGCCCTGTACCTGCTGAAAGGCACAAGGTCACAATGACATCAGTAACGCATCATAGGGATGTAATACTGTTGCTCCAAAACTAATGTGACAGTTTATGAGGGTGGTTCTACTCACGTCTGTGTCATGCAGGTGATCCAGGGGTTGAGGGCGGCGCTGGTCAGAACCAGCCAGGCAGAGAAGGCCGAGCCCACCGTCGGGCTCGGCTGACCGCTGAACGTCTCGTACAGACACACTGAGATGTAGGGTAGCCAGCAGACCAGCAGACACACTGTCAGAACCAACCAGAGAGGAAACGGTCACATGACCCCACCAGAACCAATCAGAGAGGAAACAGTCACATGACCCCACCAAAAGCGATCAGAGAGGAAATGGTCACATGACTCCACCAGAACCAACCAGAGAGGAAATGGTCACATGACCCCACCAGAACCAATCAGAGAGGTAACAGTGACCATGCCAGAACTAGCCAGACAATGCTAGGTAACCCACAGACTAGCTGTGAAAATCTGGGGGCTAGTAGCAGTAAACTACCTAAAGAGGTCCAGGGACTAGTTACAGAGCTCTAGGACTAGTAGTGGAGATCTATGACTAGTAAGAGTGGTAGCAGAGCTCTAGGACTAGTAGCAAAGATGTGGTGACTAGTTACAGAGCTGTAAGACTAGTTACAGAGGTCAGTGGACTTAGTTACAAATCTTTGGGATGAGTAGTTACAGAGGTCAGCAGACTAGTTAGTGGTCAGTGGACTAGTCACACAGGTCAGTAGACTAGGATTGGAGCAGAGCAGCTTGTGCTTCATAATGAAGCAGCTGAGGCTCATGGGTGTTGTAGGATTTAGAGCTGACAGAACCAAACAGACGGATGGTCAGAACTTAAACCTGCAGGACGGTTTGCTGTCTGCAGGTTGCCATGGTGAACTGTGACCTGCCTGTTTATTAGAGAGATAACCACAAGTCATGAAGGTAAACATGGACGCTGATCCTCGGAGACAGTCACTGTGACTTTCTGCTCTCAACAGGGCTGTTGTCGTCATGGTGACACAACCACATGGATCCGCTGCTTGTGTTGAGTTTTATGGGTTCGTGTTGCGTTTGCACATGAAGTCTGTCCTCCGTTGTTATCCAGCTGTGTGTCCTGAAGTCTTCTGACCTTTGCAGTCAGAGAAATGTTAACTTCTCTGATAGCCTCTAGCTTCTAATGGCCGCCCCTGGTTTAACACCGAGAGACTGATTCATCTGTACGCAATAAGCAAAGTACAACCAGCTGGACTGACACCAGGATTTTAAAAACACTGGTTGGTCAAATTCTTAAATATAAGAAAATTAAATGAAGTTTAATTTCAAAGACAAATTTGCTTCTAAAGTCAACATTGAACCCTCTAAAACCCAAATAGCCTCTGGACGCTATTTCATTCTGTGGCATCACTGTGGACTCAATTTTCACTGCAAAAAAAATAGATATGCACCTCTATGGAAACAACACAACCAGGACTAGAAGGAGCGAGGACTCAGAAACGTCTTCTGTGCTGTATGCCGTTAATCAGAAAAAAAACAAGACCATTGGTTATTTATACACTGCCTGCAGTTCACCTGAAAACGTTTTCTTTTTTAACAGGATTTGCCACAAACCATTTATTTTGGGAGGATTTTTGAATGAGACGTATAATAAAGTTAGTTTGATCATATATGATGATTTTAAATGATGTCTCTCATTGGAAGACTGACCATTCTTTCTGTTATTTACAGTTTCTGGCTGATAAATGGTGTCATTCTCCTGTTTCTTAAGATAACATGCCTGTTTTCCTTGTTACTATTCTTTTAAGGTAAAACTTTAACTATGATAAACTCTTGAATTTCCCAACATGGAGGTCATGATGGTGTTTCTAATGTTGCCTAAAATACTATTTAAGTGGAGAAACAGTGACACCTGGTTTAAAAAATACTGTAAAATCAAACTGGAAACCAGCTGTGTTTCCATATTTACCAACTTCAGCCTGTCAGAAATCTTAAACACAGCTCTGAGGGTTTGACAAGTTTGGACAAACATGGGTCTGTAAGGACATGAGGGTCAGGTGTCACCGACCAATCAGGGTGCAGCGTGAACTCACCTGAGGTGGACACCATGACGATGGAGCTCCTCAGGTAGTTGTTGGCAGGAACATAGAAGCAGTGCAGCTCGTTGCACATGAACGTGCCCCTCCTGGCCTGTTTCCTCGCCACGTACACGATGTATCCGTACAGCGAGCACATGGTGAGGATTGGCGCCACGATGCCCACCGCCATCCACAGCACCACGAAGTACCTGTTGTCAGGGCTGAAGGTCGGGCAGCACAGGAACCGCGACTCGCTGTAGGCATAGCTGCCGAAGCCCAGCAGCGGCAGGATGGCGCTCACCAGACAGAACAGCCAGACCAGAACCAGCACCGCCCGGCTCCGACCCGCCGTCCAGATGCTGCTGTAGCTCAGGGCGAAGCAGATCTCCGTGAACTTGTCGACAGTGGCCCAGCTGAGCGAGTGGATGGAAGAGGTCTGTAGCAGGAGGAAGAGGAAGCCGCTGCCCTGGCAGAGCATCCCCTCGCTGGGGCGTCCGTCCGGCTGGAAGAGGCTGTTGTGGGCTCCGAAGGGGATGGTGGAGAGCCCGAGGGCCAGATCGCTGAGGCTGAAGCTCAGAGTGAGGCTCAGAGTGTCCGACCGAAGATCCTTGTTCAGGAGGAGAACCAGCAGCAGGAGGAGGTTCCCACAGACCGACGCCACGCTGGACAGAAGCATGAGGACGGCGTACAGCGTCCTCAGAGCGGCCACCATCTTCAGACGCACTCACAGGACGAGATGATGTCACTGATTACATCACTGATCAGGTTCGTTAAGACGCTGCTTCCAGGTGGACGTTCAGGTGGTCACATGATCATCAGCTGCAGCTTGTCTCTGCTGGATGATGCTGAGGTTTAAACCTGGTCTCCACGTCTGCAGGTTATTTATTATCAGATGAACAGTTGGTTCATAAATGTCAGATTATTTGAGAGTTGTTTAGTTTCCTGTCAGAGGCTGAATAAACACAGCAGATCGTCTCTACTGAAGAGCTAAAGACGAATTTTGCTCGAAATAATCAGAATTCTGTCAGATGTCTAGACTTCAGAACCCTGAATGCGACCTGCTGGCAGCGTCCATGTTGTCATCCAGTCAGCTCGGAGCTCCGATGCAACGAGGCTGTGAATCCTGCAGAGCTGCTGGCTGGACCTCAGTCGCCACACAGGTGTGGTCAGCAGGTTACCTGAGGTGTGATGAGTCACAGCCGGCTGACCCTGATGTTAAAATAAAATCACTGAGTCACCGGCTTGCCTCCAGGAACCAGAACCAGAACGGTTCCTCTGACCCAGTAACCGGCAGTTACTGATCTGTTTGGTCCTCGTCGATCCACGTCAGCCCTCTGAGAGCCCAATCAGAGGTCAGAGGTCGAACTGATTGATCGCTGATATCCACTGAAGGAGCGATTGATTGTTGTCGTGTCTGAGTCTGATGAGCTCTGAGCGCGAGCAGCCGACTGCAGGAGGCGTGGCCTGATCAGCAGGTGTCTCCACAGGCAGCGTTACCACGGCGCACCTGTCCGTCACCTGCTGAGACCATGATGAGGACGACACACACACACAAACACACAGGATATTGGATGTTCAGTAGTGTTGACTTTACAGCAACAGATAACTGTGTGTGTGTGTGTGTGTGTGTGTGTGTTGTCACATGTCCTGACTCAGGTAATGACAGGTGTGCAGGTGTGTAATCATCATCAACCTGCTGAACCTCAGACCACTGAGGAGCTCAGGTTGGGTTCAGGTGTGAAACAGCCAATCGGAGTGCGGCGTCGACTGGCTGTTGTATTTGTGCTGCGTGACTTCATGTGATCAGATGAAGCTGCTGCTGCTGCTCAGGATGGCTGACGTTATTTCATCATGTGTTACACCTGTAACACTGGAAATGCAAAGAGTTAAATACTGATAAAACATAGAAATGCACATTTAATCCTAAAAAAATAAACGTTCCTCAGGTGTCTCAGACTCCAATTGATAAGAAAACCAAGAGTCAGTGAACCTGCTTTGGTTATTTATTGCATGCATACATTATTACATATTTATTGATGTCTATAAACCAAAGGTACGTCCACACTAATCCGGTTTTATAACGTCTTGTGTGTTGCCTCCTGTCGTCCACGCGACTGAAGAATTCAGACCCTTTACTGCAGTAAAATACAGCAAAGTAAAGATGCCTCTTTACAAAGGAAAGTGCTGTGTGACAAATCATATGAATGTAAAAACACATTGCAGCAAAATCTAGTTAAATCATGAACCGTCTAAACTCTAAAACTCTCTGGGGGGTTAAAAGTGTTGTGTTTAAAGTAATTCACCCCAAAATGACACCATTTATTAGCCAGAAGCTCTAAAAACAGCTTTCAGATCAACTAATCGAGTGTTCCATCTGGAAAATCTGCCAAATCTGAAGCTGACATCCTGATATTTCAACTTTCTGACAGTCTTTGAATGTGTCACCTGTGATGTGCGGTTCCATTGAGAAAATTAACTATTAACTACTTTTTCTCGCTGAGATATTGAATCATGTGAATGGTATGTGAATAGTATGTTTTAAATCACACTATTTGATGGAGCTCTTAACGACTTGTAGATGCCTGATTACGCGCTGCCTTTTGGAAGAAGCCACAAAGGCTGAAACAGCTGGTTTAATCTTTAACTACATGACTGAATATACAGAATAACATAATCGTCTGGGCTTCATGACAGGACTCTGAGAGTTGTAGTTATGATACAGGAAAAACAGCAACTACCAGCATCAAGTTTCATTTATTTATTTGAAAATAAAACTTTATTAATCCCGAAGGAAATTCTTGTGCCAGGTATTGCTCAGAAAAAAACAAAAGACAAAATATAAGAAATGCAGTACCTAAAAAAAGCAGACAAGCAATAAGATATCACTTTAATACACTTTAATAATATAAGTGAGCTAAAATAAAGCTCAAATAGAACAGTAAAAAGTAATACTGACAATTATACTGAGGTAGTAAGTAATATCACACATGATAATAAAATATTGCACATGAAGATGAGATGAATTATTTAATGTTTAAATGAATGTAAATGTGCAGGAGTTGGTTTTTATCAGCATTCCCTTTATCTGATGCATCCAAAAACAACAATTCTAGCTATTTGAGTGTATTTTCATATATTCTGGTTAAAGGTAGAAAAACCTCAGAGTCAACGCTGTGGTGGTGGTTAAATACATAAATAGGATGGAGAAGGTCTGATTGATGTGATGCTCTGAAGAAAACGCTCATGTGTCCAGTCTGATCAGTTCCATCACACTTGATTATTGATCTTCCTGCTTGCTGTCGTCTCCTGCAGCACAACGCTCCGATCCCTCAGGGCGGCCGCGGGGCGATCCAGTTCGTCACTCAGTACCAGCACTCATCAGGACAGAGACGCATCCGGGTCACCACCACCGCCAGGAAGTACGACTGCATCCTCACCATTTCATTAGAAAACACATTTAGGGTTTGGGTTAACGGTGCCGGTTATGCCTACGAAGGCAATTAGGATTAATGTTAGTGTTTTCATAACTTAACACCCAAGTAGTCTGGATGAGCGCTTCGTCGATGTCATGGTATAAAATGTCGTAAAATAAAATCATAATGTAGTATGTCAGTGTTTTATGAAAAACATGTATGTTTAAAAAAAAAAAAAAGTCATTATTCGTAAGTCGTATAGAAGTCATATCGTACTATGTCCTCAAAAGTCATAGTATAATATATCACAAAAAGTCATAGTATAGTACGTTGTGAAAACGCTTTAGTATAGTATATGCCAGAAACATCATAGTATGGTTTTTCGTCATAGTGTAGCAAGTTATAAAAATTGATGTTGTATAGTTTGTCTTATAAACGCCATGGTATAGTACGACGCAAAACCTTCATAGTATAGTCTGTTACAAAAACGCTTTATAGTATGTCACAACAAACGCCATAGAATGGTATGATAATAAAAACGCGATAATAAAGCCATGTCAGTAGAGATTTTTAGTTGCAATGCTGTGAGTGTCCACTGGGGGCGCTGTCTTGGTTCTGGTTATCTATATTTTCTCCTCCCTCTCCAGCTGGGCCGACGCTCAGACTCAGATTCAGAGCATCGCGGCGTCCTTCGATCAGGAAGCGGCGGCCATCTTGATGGCGAGGTTGGCGGTGTACCGGGCGGAGACAGAGGAGGGGCCGGATGTCCTCAGATGGCTGGACAGACAGCTGATCAGACTGGTAGGAATAGAACCATGGACTCCAGTGGATTATTGATTATTGATCAGAGCACTAATGTTGATGTGTTTGTGTTTAGTGTCAGAAGTTTGGAGATTACCACAAAGACGATCCAAACTCCTTCAGGTTCTCCGAGACCTTCTCCCTCTATCCTCAGGTGACCACTGATAGTGACCCACTGTGAACCTGGAACATGACCCCACAGGTGGAAACTCTACTAAAACCTGTGTGTGTTCTGTTTGCAGTTCATGTTCCACCTGCGACGCTCTCCGTTCCTGCAAGTGTTCAACAACAGTCCAGATGAGAGTTCATATTACAGACATCAGTTCAACAGGCAGGACCTAACACAGGCGCTCATTATGATCCAACCTGTGCTGTACGCTTACTCTTTTAACGGGCCACCTGAGGTACGTACACGTCTGCATACAAACACCTGTAGTATGTACCAAAAAAAAAGCCATAATACAGTCGATCGCAAAAACGTCATAGTATGGCATCTCACAAAAAAACTTCATAGTAGATAGTATGTTGTAAAAAAAAATCATTGTATATTATATCATAAAGTCTCAGTGTGTTCTAAAAATGTGATAATATAGTATGTCATTAAAAACCCCAGGGTAGTATTTCAGAAAAATGTCATAGTATAGTATGTCGTAAAAACGTCACAGTATAGTATGTTGTAAAAAAAAAAAAAAGTTGTAGTATACAGTATGTCATAAAAAAAGTTGTAATATAGCATGTTGTAAAGATGTCGTAGTATAGAGTGTTGCAAAAAACGCCATAGTGTAGTGTGTCACAAAAAACACCAGTATAGTATGTCGTAAAAACATCATAGTATAGTATGTCATATAAAATGTAGTTTAGTATGTCGTAAAAATGTCATTGCATAGTGTCACAAAAAAAAGTCATAGTATAGTATGTCACAAAAAATGTCAGTACAATGTGTCGCAAAAAACCATCATCGTATAGTGTGTTACAAAAAACTGTATATTATCTCGTGAAAACTTTATTGTATAGTATAAACTTAGTACAGTATGTTGTAAAAACGTCAATAGTATAGTGTCACAAAAAAAACGTCTTCGTATAGTGTGACGCAAAAAACGTATAGTATGTCATAAAAAAGTCGTAGTATGTCAAAAAATGTCATAGTATAGTATTTTGTAAAAACATCAATAGTATAATGTCGCAAAAGACATTGTATGGTGTGTCAAAAAAAAAACTCAAGTATAGTATGTTGCAAAAACGGTATTACAAAAAAAGCTGTATAGTGTGTCGTATAAAACATCTCACATACACACCTGTATCAACACCTGTGTATAGTAAAGAATGTCAGCGTGCTTCAACATCAGTCAGCTCGTGTGGATGCAGAAACCATAAACTAGCCTCTAATGTTGACAAACGGGATCAAAGTCATTGATCGGTGTATTGATCAGTGTGTGTGTTTCAGCCGGTCCTGTTGGACAGCAGCAGCATCCTCCCGGATCGAATCCTGCTGATGGACACCTTCTTCCAGATCCTCATCTACCACGGAGAGGTACACACTGAGCACACCTGGAACACCTGCAGCATTCACCTGCAGAACTGATGACATCACAGGCAGTCAGGGCAGTGTGACATCAGACTGTTCAGCTTCAGAAATCAGCAAGAACTGCACGATATGAAGCAGACGTAGTTTCATGTTCCCGTAAAGAAAACACATCTGACCTGATTTGTTATTGACAGTGTTTTTATTAACACACGTCTGAATTTTTAATTAAACACAGCAGCAGTTTGTGAACAATTAAGTGGAGTGCAGTTGTGTCTTTACATTTCCACCTGAATTCACCTCCAGCACTCACATAAAACTGTAATCAGCTGTTTGCAGATCAATATTTCATTAGCCTGGTTCCACCGGCTGTGTATTTATAGCACCTGCTAATCCATCACCTGCACTGACATCTCTTCATTATTATCAATCATAAAACGTTATCAGTGATTTGCTTTTATTACTGCCTCATATAGTATTTAATGAGCTTTATCACGGTGAGAGGTTACATAAAAACAATCAGACAGCTAGGATGCACAAAGTTTAGTTTTTTGTAGCCTTTAATCTGCATTGTACACAGTAAACAGCTTACAGATGATTTAAACACACAGTTTTATCATATAGACTAAACTGAAGCCACAGTAGGACTCTGTAGCCGTGTGCATGTCTGTATACACTGTGTGTTTGATGCCAGACGGTGGCTCAGTGGAGGAAGGCCGGTTACCAGGAAATGGCCGAGTACGAGAACTTCAAGCATCTCCTTCAGGCTCCGGTGGACGACGCTCAGGAGCTGCTTCACACTCGCTTCCCGATGCCGAGATACATCGACACGGAGCATGGAGGCAGCCAGGTGGGGGCGCCGACACACACCTGAACACTAATACGCAGCATCAGTACAGGCGCTGTATGTCAGGATACACACAGCAGTGGTACATCAGCAGTTATGTAATAAATAAAAGGAAAACTAACGATTAATGATGATTAAATCAACATAACTTTACTTACATTACCTGAAATCACAGGAAATACTGAGTATGTACTACCCATCAACATATGTACTCTACATCAAAATCTATTACACATCTACATCTGTACTGTATATCTAAATATACGCAATAGAAATCAATACAGGTCCTGTATGTCAACATAGGTGCAGTACATAAACATATCAATTACACATTAAAACACAGTATATGCTAGAAATCAACATGTGATTTAAATGTACAGACAGTAAACTCATGTTCAGCTTCAAGGACTCAACTTGGACCAAATGAACTCAGTAGATGTGTTGATTTTTAGCACATGCAGTATGTTGCTGTACGAGACATGTCTTGATGCTGAGCACATGTATTGGTGAATATATGTGCAGCTGTACTATACATCAAAGTGTACTGATCATCAATATAAGGACCATATATCACCATACCACTAATACATCAGTTATAGTGCAAGTATAAATACATGTACTATAAATAAAGTGTATTGATGTACAGCTTCATATTTATGTGCAACACAGACTGTATGTTGATGCATATTACATGCAGTATGTTCTTGTATCACTGCACTATAATAATATATCAAAACATATGCTAGAAATCAATATATGTTCTATGGATCAATGCAAGATATACATCAATATACCACATGTGTGTAGTATGTAGTACATTGATTGGCTATTGATATATATGTGATAGAAATAACTATATATGCTATCAACATACATACAGTGAATGCTGATGTATATCACATACTGTATGTAAATGTACTATGGATATGTAGCACACAGTTTGATGTATAGTACATATATTGATGTATAACTGTGTTATATATATAATTATAGTGGGTTTGTGCTTTATAGGACTAATACATCAACATATGGATTGTACATAAATGTGACTGTATGTCAGCATACTGCAGTATTACTACAGCTACACACTGATGCATGTACTATATGTCAATAGTACATGAATATATATATATATATTTTGTATATTCATTTTAGTTCATGAATATACAGAATGTGCTACAAACTACATACTGTATGTTGTTGTACATGTACGGATGTGTAGCTGTACCTTCATCAAAATGTATTAAACATAAATGTATGGACTGTATAATAAAAATACATCAATATATGTGTACACACAGTACACTGATGATTACTTGTGTACAGCACATATGTTGATGTATGTGTAGTATGTATACTGTTTTTTGGCATATACTACATGTTGATGTCCTACTGAGATATAGTAAATAAGGTATGTGAATTTTGAAATCTTGAAATATATACTTGTATAGATGTTAGTATTAGTACATATACATGTGATGCTATACATCAGTAGTACATCAATATCTGTGTAACACATCAGTGTATGTCCTATAGCAGTACAAGTACATACATCAAATACTTGTACACCCTCAGTCTCCTGCTGAACTTTACATTCTGCTGTTTTCAGGCTCGTTTCCTTCTGTCCAAAGTCAACCCCTCTCAGACCCACAACAACATGTACGCCTGGGGGCAGGTAAGACCTCACCTGTCACCTCTGAACTCACACGCCTTCACACACGAACCAATCAGACGCAACGCTGACTGACTCTCTCCTCTGCAGGAGTCTGGAGCTCCCATCCTGACAGACGACGTCAGTCTGCAGGTGTTCATGGACCACCTGAAGAAACTGGCTGTTTCCAGCGCCGCCTGAACCCGCCTCACCTGCCCTGAATCCGCAATATTCTTGTCTAATCTGCATTTGCTGCCTGAGTTACCATGACAACAACTAAACCAACCAACAAACACAGTCCACCTCTTAGTCTCAGCCAATCAGGAGCAGCGTTAGAACAGTGACAGCCAATAGTCTGTTGTCTTTTATCTATTAAACGTTTGGCCTGTAAACTGAATATACAGCTACACAGCAGCAGCGACTGTTATCACATAAACAACTGAACATGTTAACAAACTATTATCGCAATAAAAGTCTCTGTGTGATCTGAACATGTAGACAGTTTTTCAATATATAAAACTTGTTTGAAATGTTCTTGGTAGAACTTTGGTTTCCGTTCGTTGTGTTTCAGAAGCACTGACCAGCTGTTGTTGATTTTCTGACTGCGCCGCTTCATCATTAGACGTTTATCCACTTACATGTTCTGCTGTTCCTCCTGTCGGCTGCTCGTTGTCAAGTTTCTCCGCGAAGCCGTCGAACACTAAAGGTTCTGCAGACACACAACAAGCACCTGTTTTCATTCAGCTCTGTGTTTTCTAATAAAACTCTGCTGTGAACGTCTTCACTGTGTTTCTGTTTCTACAACATCAAACTGCAACACAAGATTCCAGACAGCTACCATAAAAACAAAAGAATCTTTATGTGAGACGACACGTAGCACAGCGGCTCTGTCGTCAGACGCCAACGCGTTCTAGACATCAACATGTTCTATACATCAACACGTGTTCTATACATCAACACGTGTTCTAGACGTACACCTATGTTCTAGACATCTACTTACGTCCTAGACATGAACATGTGTGCTAGAAAGAAACATGTTCGATATGTTAACATATGTTCCAGATGTCAATACATGTGCTGGATGTACACATATGTTCTAGATGTCAACATACATCCTAGACATGAACATATGTGCTAGAAGTAAACATGTTCTAGATGTCAACAGATGTGCTCAATGACATATGTTCTCGTCTTCAACATGTTCTAGACAGACACATATGTTCTAGATGTCAATACAAGTGCTAAACATAAACACGTTTTAGATAACATGTCTTCTAGACCTCAACATATGTTCTAGACGTCAACATATTCTAGACATCAACATATGTTCTAGGTGTCAACATTTGTGCTAGAAATCAACATGTTCTATACGTGTGCTAGACATGCACATGTTCTAGATATCAACATGTCTTCTAGACCTCAACATATGTTCTTGATGTCAATATGTGTGCTAAACTTAAACATGTTCTAGATAGCAACATTGCTTGTAAACGTCAACATGTTGTAGACGTCAACGTATGTTCTAGATGTCAACAGATGTGTTGGATGACAACATATGTTCTAGACTTTAACATGTCATTGACATCAACGTGTGTGCTAGAGGACCACATATGTGCTAGACTTCAACATGTTCTATACAGCAACATGTGTTCTAGATATCAACATACATCCTAGACATCAACATATGTGCTAGATGTCAACAGATGTGTTGGATGACAACATATGTTCATATGTTCCAGACATGTGCTAGACATCACCATGTTCTATACGTTGACATGTTCTAGATGTTAACATGGGTTCTAGATGTCAACAGATGTGCTAGAGGACCACATAAGTACTAGACTTCAACATGTTCTATATGTCAACAGATGTTCTAGCAGCGGGATTACACACAAACAGTCCAATTCAAAGTCAGCTACTAGAAATCATATAAATCAAACTTCTTAATTTACAGTTTCGCTCTGAAACCACATTATTGGAACTTTGTTGTTTTGTATCCTAAAAACATTTTTAAAACTGTTTCTACAGTTTCTACTGTTCCTTCCTCTCTGGCTGTTACCGTGGCAACAACCCTCCTCCCTGCCTCTGTTGCTACGGCGACACCCCCAACCCTCCATCAGCTAAACAAACAGAGGAATAACAGCCGGGAGAGCAGCTTCCAAGTCTGTTGCCATGGAGAAAAGCGTTGCGACCTGAGCGGAGGGGAGGTGCTCCATGTGACCGTCAGCTGACCTCCTGTTAGGTCAAGACACAAATTGTTCATATTCAGGGTCTTTAGGAGGAAGTTTTGGATTCAGAAGGATGTTTTCGTTTGTGGTCAATCAGCTGAAACTCTGTATAGCTTCAGACTGAGTTTATATCTACATGAGGAAGTTCAGATGTTTCTACAGGAGCCCAGAACGGACAAAATTCACACTGAAGGGAGACGTGTTTCAGGTTCTCCTATACAGTGAACAGAGGGGAGTGACTGAGTCGTATTCAGCTGGTTGTAATCTGCAGCTTCACCACCAGATGCCACTAAAGTCACTGACAGTGCAGCTCGATCAATAATCAATCATCTTTGGCCTCTGCTTCAACACTGAATATCTGGACAGGATCTATGCTGCAGATATCCGTTTAATCTGTAATTAAACAATTTTAAAAGAACATTTCAGATCTTCATATCGTCATTCATCACATTTACCATTCATGAGTTTCTTATGACAGATCTGCATCTGAATTCTGAATTATTGAAAATTTATTTCAAGATGTCTTTAATTCCTCTCAGTTCAACACGTGCGTTGTTGTTTTCTTACCTGAAGTTTAAACTGGTCAGAATGAGGTTGTTACTGGATATGACAAAGAAACACAAAACGACCGCAAAGAGACTCAAAAATGTAGACACATAGACACAAAATGACCACCAGTAGATAAAGATGAACCACAAGGAGACACAAAGCAACCTGCTGCACCAACATCCAATCAGAGGCCTCGCATGAGCAGCGTCACCACAACGGTTCAGACTCGTCATAAGGATTTTTCGATGCATTCAAACTGAATTATTGAGCTCGAACTACACTAATCTCTAGTTTTTGTTCCTTAAAGTCAAACTCAGCTATTAAATAATAAAACACCTCTCCATGATAACCTGTGTGTGATGCTACCTGAAGCCTCCAATCGTACAGTAGACAGAGAAGGCCTTGATGTACAGAAGTTCTGAAGGGATTTGGCGTTTCTCAACCGGTTTTCGAATGGCGAGCCGTTAAAGTTGATGAGCTGTTGCAGCCTCAGCTCAAACTTTGTATGGCTGTCTATGGGACATGTGCCGACATGCTGTGACATTTGCTCGTCTACACAAAAAACTAAAGGTCCTACAGCTTTAAAAATGACACTGAGGGCTTCCTAACAAGATTTCCCACAAAAATATGCTGTTTTTACACATATTTCGTCAAAATTGTGGCTTTATGAGAGAGTTAACAAGAGTAAAACTCTCAGCTCTCTCAGCCAGTGGCACGAAAAACGCTGAGTGATCATGACATCATCACAGGTCTGTGCAGCTGGTCATGTGACTCACTGACAGTCTGAGGCTGAGCAGAGACAGAAACATGGCTCCTTCAACTTAAAACAGGTTTAACTTGTGTCAAAATGGAGGTCAGACGGGTATGAGGTCGCAACGCGGACCGAGGACCCGACCAACGCTGCTTGCAGGTTTAATATTGTGTTGAAGCTGCCAACAGGACCAGCCTCTCTCATACTGGTCATTTAAAGAAGTACCAAAAGTATGTGGACACTTTCAGGCTTTCTAATTTTAAATGATTAAGAATCACTCAGGTGTTCACATATTTTTGACCAGTAGCACCACTTTATCCCTCTCAATGGTCAAAGCAAGAATTAGTGCCAAAACTATGTGGACACTTTGGAGCCAAATCTATATCAATTAGACTAAGTTAGAACAGTCAAGTGTCCACATACTTTTGATCAGATGTGTGCACATTCTGCAGCATCACCATGACAACAGCATGGCCATTACTCATGGCTCCGCCCTCTGCGACCTCCGGCTTCCTGTCATTCTTCACACACTTCCTCCAGGAAACAGGAAGCATCTGAGTCACCGTGACAACAATCAGTCTCCAGTGAGTGTGAGTGTGTGTGTGTGTGTGTGTGTGTGTGTGTGTGTGCGTGCGTGTGTGTGTGTGTGTGTGTTTCCACGGTTTGTTTAAACACAATACAATCATGTGTCACTCTGATCAAACTGATCTCAGTTTGAATACCTTGAACACAAAGAATCCTGCCCTCTGATTGGCTGCCGACGAGGTTGTAGTCATCCTGGAGGACAATTCTGGAGTCCTGGAGGAGGTTTCGAGTCCCTCCAGGTGCCTATACTGGGCCTTGAAATGCCTTGAAAAGGTGCTGAGACAGTTCCATGCATCCTCGCAGTGACCCAGTGGTCCTTGAAAAGGTCCCTGTGGGCCCTGGGAAGGGTCAGATGTGACTCAAGTGTATCAGAGGTCATTGAGGAGGACCCAGGAGAGCTTGACTGGGGTTCAGTGGTCACAGATGTGTTCCAGAGGTCCTTGAAGAAGCCCCAGAGGTCCTTGAGGAACAGTCTCGGGTGCATGAGAGGGTTCAGATGGTCTCAGAGGTCCTTGAGAGGGGTCAAATGGTCACTGAGGGGTTCCAGAAGTTCTTGAAGAGGCATCTGGAGGCTTTCAATGATCCTTGAGAACAACCTGCTGCTTCAGAAAAATAGCTCACCTTCTCAGAGACTTATACATTCTCAAGGGCACCTGGAATATCCTCAAAGGCCTTTGCTACATTCTCAGTGATCCTCCAGGAACCCTGAGGAACTCCCAGAGCTTTTACAAGGACCCTAAAACTCTGGTGTCTTTTCACAAGCACCTCTGAAGAACATTTCAACCTTCTTGTGGCCCCTGGAACCTCCTCAAGGCCCTGAAATAGTTTTTAACTGGTCTGAACCAAACTCCAGTTAATAAATGTTCAACTTTAAGACACTTTTTTCTTTTTAAAAAAATCAGTTTTCAGATTCTGTATTTTTTATTCTAGTATATAGATTTTTTGTGAATCTTTTTCAAGAATTAAAAAAGGAAAGTCAAACTAAACTGTTAAATTAAACATTAAATGATAATTTTACATTATTTCTTTTTAAATCTTTATTTCTATGTAAATGTAATTGATAGGATGTTCTTTCATCATTTCTGAATAACTTGAGTCTGAACTGAGGTGCTGTTTTCAGCTGTTTTTCTGTTCACAGTCAGAGGCAAACTGTTGTGGAAAATAATTTAAATCTTCCAGGAATTCAGTTTTATTTGCTGAGCGACACAAAGGGTGAAGAAGAGAAAAGGAAGTTAGACTGCAAAAGAAACGCTGACTGATTAAAGGCAGCTGCTGGATTTCTGTTTCTAATTTTGGATGCAACTTTATCAAACTCTGACAAGTAATAATGTTGGCGTTTCAAATGTTTAAAAAAATAATGTTGTTTACAATTAGGCTTTATTTTGAAAGCAGAGGTGGCCAGCCAGCTTCCAGTTTATCATAATCATCACAAATGACTGTGACCTTTATTTGTCATACTTTCATACATAGAGTGTATCTAATTCAGCTAGATTGGTTTAGAGGAGAAGAAGTGTCTCTTTATAAACATTATAAGGCCCAAACTATGAATACTTTTGGGTATTTTGTATTTATAAAAGCAGAACCATACTTAGAAATTAACACACTTCTCTACATGGCCAAAACTATTTGGACATCTGTTGGGCTAACACCATACTGATTATATGTGGCTGCCACTTAAGCTGTCCACATACTTTTGTACATAATGCATGTTTAATTCAAGCAGATGATTATCACAAGAAGTGCCAAAAGTTTGGATACGCTTTGAGGTGTATGCATAAAAAATCTGCACATTTCTGTTTGTGTTAAAGTGTCTATTGACACAGTATCTGGCCATAAGTATTTGGACATCCTTTGGCGTCAATGTCATATCCATCACATATTACTTCAGCATTCAACTGTCCATATACTTCTGGACATGAAAAATGTCACAATGTGTTTACAACCTGCCTATCATTCAGCCAGAGAATGTCGAAAGAAAAAGTTGGGGCCAATTCTACATGAATTCCAATTGTCCGCATACTTATGGCCATGTGGTGTGTTTATTACAGTGAGATGTCTTTAGAACAATCTGCACATTTCTACATATGACCAAAATTATTTGGACATCCATTGAACTAATGCCATATTAATCACATATGGCTCCAATGTTTAGGTGTCCACGTACTTTTTTAACATAGAGTGAATTTAATTCATTAAAATGCTTCAAAGAAACGAAGCATCAAAATTATGTGGACAATTTGGACCAATTCGATATTAATCATATTAAACAGAAACATTCAGGCGTCCACATACTTTTGGACACGAAAACTGTAAATTTCCTTATTACAGTGAAATGTCTTCAGAACAATCTGCACATTTCTACATAGGACCAAAATTATTTGGACATCCATTGAACTAATGCCATATTAATCACATATGGCTGGAGTTATTAAGTGTCCTCGTACTTTTAAACATAGCGTAAATTTAGTTCAATAAAATGGTTTAAAGAAAAAGAAGCATCAAAAGTATGTCAACACTTTGGGATCAACTCTATCATAATCGTATTAAACATAAATATTCAGGTGTCCACATACTGTTGACCAAGTTGTGTATTGTTCTAGAAAACAAGTGCACATTTTTGTTTGTTAGCGTGCTGACACAGTATGTGACCATAAGTATTTGGACAACCTTTAGCGTCATATCAATCACATACTACTACAGCACTCAACTGTCTGCATAATTCTCGACATAAAAACAGTCGCTGTGTGTTTACAACCTGCCTATGTATTCAATCAGAGGGGTGAGGGAAGAAGAAGTTCAAAACGTAGGTGGACACTTTGGAGTCAACTTTATTAAACAGAAACATTCAGTTGTCCACATACTTTTGGCCAGATGATGTATTTATTCCAGCGTATTCAGCATATTTTTGACCAAAACTATTTGGACATTCTTCAAACCGTTTTCCTCTCAGCTCGCTTGTGTTGCTGCACACATACTTTGAGTGTATTTTATTTTCATTTTTCCTGCTTTGAGGTATCGAATCAGTGCTCTGCTTGTGTTCATGTGGGATCAATAAAAACATGCTGAGTGACAGACCGAGGTTTGGTCCAAACACCTCCAAGGTCTCAGAATCTGGACTCGGCGACGTTCCTCTGGAGGAAACCAACCCGCCGTATCAAGACGCTGCACACTTCCTGTCCTGGAGGAGGAGGGGGGAGTAGGGGGGAGGAGAGGGGAGGAGAGGGGTGAGGCCGACGGTCGGTCGGTCCGTCAGCAGAGCTACTGTGGAGGAGAGAAACTCATAGAGGAACAAGAACAGAAAAGGAGACGAAACAAAAGGAGAAAACAGGAAGAAAAGACACCAGAAGCTGCAGAGACAAAGAGAAAGAAGAAGAAAACGAGAAGAAAATCAAAAAAGAGCAAAAGAGAAAGAAGAGGAAGAAGAGTGGATAAAGCAGGACGAGTTCCAAACGGTAGGAAAACAAGCTCGCCCACCTCAGATTAGATTGATGGACTATTGATTAGTTGAAGGTCAAAGCCATGAAGCAGCTTCTAACCTGTCAGGACAGGAGAGCTGAACTAGTCCTGGATGATGTAACCAAAAAATTAATGACAATACAATGTTTAATTTCTGTCAATATCTGCAATTACTAATCAGTGTTAATGAGCTATTTTCATAAAGACCAACCGAAAAACAGCGAAAGAGACTTTAACCTCTTTAGTCACTTTGTTAAGGCGCACATCTAATAATGTTAATGAAAAACACACAAGTATTGTCTGTGCAGATCCTTAATCATCCAGCTCATTATAATAAGAGCTGATTTTTATAGCAACTTGACTTCTTTTTTGGTTCTTGAAGACATTTAACCTTCATCCAGGAGGTTTTTCTAAGTTCTAATTGACTGATGTGATTCCTCCTTCTGGAGGAAAGTTCTGTGGTCAGATGGAACAAAAAAACTAAGCAGAAATATGTTTGGAGGAGAGAAGGTGAGGCCTTTAACCCAAGAACACCAAACCTACCATCAGGCATGGAGGTGGCAGCATCATGCTCTGCGGTTGTTCTGCTGCCAATGGACCTGGAACTTTACACAAAGTCAGTGGAACAATGAAGAAGGAGGATCACCTCCACATTCTTCAGGAAAACCTCAAACCATCAGTAAAAGGTTGATCTTGGACACAGTTTTGTTTATTTGTTAATATGAAAGGAAAACATGCTGAGGTTAATTGGTGATTCTAAATTGTCCGTAGGTGTGAATGTGAGTGTGCTTGGTTGTCTGTCTCTAAGTGTAGCCCTGTGATAGACTGGTTACCTGTCCAGGTGAACCTGCCTTCACCCTGAGTCAGCTGGGATAGACTCCAGCCCCCCACCACCCTGGTGAGGATTAAGGTGTACAGATAGTGGATGGATGACGGCTGGTCTCCATGAACAGATTAGTGAACAGAACAACTGGCTTTAGGTTCAGAGGCCCAGAAAGAGACTCAGTTACTATAAAACAAAGATTCAAAGACACAAGTTTTGCATTTCTGTCATTGCAGAGTTGAAGGTCTTTTATGTGTCTGTACAGGTTTGTTGGATCTTTGGCAGTTTCAGACTCAAACTTTTATTCTTTGTTTCGACAGGCGTCATCACCTGAGGGGGTGAAGCTAGAGGAAATGGCGTGTCGGCTGTTTGGCTGTTGGACTCCTCTTTGCATCGTCCTCTTCCTGCTCAGTAGCATCTCGGCTGACCCGTCCTTGACACCACGATACGTCCTCCACAGCACCAGGGGCACCTTCGATGACGCCATGCAGCGCTGCTCGCCCGGCGTCCTCACCACGCTCGCCACCAACCAGGAAGTCGACGACATCCTCAAGCTCGTCTCCAACTCGGTGCCACTTCAGGACGATTTCACCTTCTGGCTCGGGCTGAGGAAGGCCAAGAACGAGTGTGTGGTTCCTGCGCAGCCGCTCAGAGGATTCAGGTGGACGGCGGACGGCAGTGAAGAGTCGCAGGTGAGCCGCTGGGCCGAGGAGCCGGTGCTCACCTGCACCGGGGTCCGATGTGCAGCGCTGAAGGGGCAGTTTGACGGGTCGACAACTAGCTGGGGTCTGATCCCGGTCAAATGTAAGAACGAGTACCCGTTCATCTGCAAGCTGAAGGGCGGGCTGACAGAAGGGTCACCGGAGGGTGAACAGGCCACTGTTAATCCAGAACCAGAACCAGTGACAACTGAACCAAAACCAGCAGCAACAGAACCATCCAAACCAGCTACACCTAAAACAAGACCTGCAACATCAGAACACGTGCCAACTACACCAGAACCTGAACTTCCTACAGAAGAACCAGAACCTGAATTGGTTCCTGGTCCTGGTCCAGACCCGATGTCAGATGCATGTCTGCACCCCATCATCCCCGGGACTCGCTCCCTCAGTCTTGACCCTGACAACAGCAGCCGGGTCCAGGTGGAGTGCTGGTCCACGGTCCGGCTGGACCTGTTCTGTTCAGGTCGACCTGCATTGTGGCGAACGCTGGACGGCTCACCGGCCAACTTCAGCACCGTCTGCCTGCAGTGTTCGCACGGCTTCCATAAAGACGCCGCCGGACGTTGCATGGACGTGGACGAGTGCGCCGACCCAACCCGCACCCCCTGCAAGCACACCTGCCTGAACACCGAGGGCTCCTACAGGTGCGTCTGCTCCGACGCCGACGGGAAACAGCACGACGAAGGTTCTCTGACCTGCCAGGACCTGGTGATGGTCGAGGACGGTGGCGCACTGTCGGGCATCCTGGTCCCGGTGCTGATCGCTGTGGCGGCGCTGGTGGTGCTGGTGGTGGTCGTCGCGGTGACGGTGAAGTGCTGCCTGATGAGGCGGTCGAAGAAACGCGCCATAAAGGCAGCGGAGAAGATGGCGATGAAAAGCAAACAGCAAAAGGACGCCTTCCAAACAGCCAATGAGAAGACAGCAACATGATTACGCAGCGCTGTGATTGGTTGTTTTCAGTGACATCATCAGTGACAGTTTACTGTTGGATGAAAGTATTAAAGTTCATTTGAGTTTTTAAACTAAAACCTCATCAAATTTTTAAATCTTTAAATCAGACATTTTAAAAGCAAATGGAAGTTTTTGGTTTATTTGCCATTTTCTTCAGTTTACGGTAAATTAATCTGCACAGTCTGAATACAGCAACCAGACTCACCTGTTTTTTACCTGAACTCTGTCTGACAGGCAGCCCCTTAAAAAGTCCTGCTCTGTTAATTAGAAACACAATGTTCGTCAGTGTTTGTGTTGATGTGTTGGAACTAGATTTGGTAAGAATATATCTCTACTACTTTAGATACTTTAGCTTCATGTGAGAAATAATGATTAATGAGTTGTAATTAACCCAATTAGTTGACTGGACTCTGACAAAAAATAAAATGTCAACACAAAATTGAACATTTAAGTGCTCTTCAATTATTATATTGGTATTTTTACATCACTAAAAGTTCTATATTTTAAATAGTATTATTTAAGAGACAAAAAGTGGAACTACATTATAAATCAGGTCATTTGATATTTTTTAAATTGTAATTTTTATACAAATATAATTAAATATTTGTTTTTCAATTACATATTAGTAATCTCAGCTGTTTCTGTTTTTCATAATTGCACACTCAGTCAGAAACAATCTGTGCTGGATATTCATTTAAATCCTCCAGGAGTCCAGTTTAATCTGCTGATGGTTTTTAACTGTTTAATTGGATCTGCTGTATTCCTGTTTCTGGGTTTTAAATTAAACTTTTTGAAATTTAATGACGGTGGAGTTTAAAATGTTTATTTATTTAGGTTTTTACAGTTTCTCAGGTTTCAGAGGCTGAAAACCGTTGATGTGTTTCTGTGTTAACTTTAACATGGCCAAAAGTATGTGGACAGTATGCTTCCATTGCCTAGAGTAATTTCCTATGGATGCAATGTTAAGCTGTCCAAATACTTTTTGAAACACAGTGTGTTTAATTGAGTTAGATGAGAAGAAAGTAAGAATGGTCTTTGTGTAAATACTATAAGGCCAAAAGTATATGGGCATAATGCTGCATATTTCCTATTACACTCGCACATTATATCACATTTAAGTGTCCACATACTTTTGTGCAAAGACTGTATTTAATTCAGTTAGATAGTTTAGAGAAGAAGACATACCTCTTTGTAAATTTTAAAAAGGCCAAATGTATGTGTACCCATTAAGATCAATTCTATATTAATTGCATTAAGCAGAATCATATATATTCATATTACTCACATATGGCTGCAACAGTTAGCCGTCCACATACATTTAGTGCAATTGATTTAGCAGCCAGTTGTATATCAGAAACATTTAGCTGTCTGCATATTTTTGGCCAGGTTGTGTATCACCCCAGACAAATCAGCACATTTCTGTTTGCGTTAAAGTGTTTGCTTACACAATATATGGCCATAATTATTTGGACACTCTTTGAAGCCAACGCCATAATAATCGGATGTAGCTGCAGCATTCAGTTGTCCACATACTTTTGGTCACTTACATGAAGCAGGACAGGAAACCGTCACTGTGTGTTTACAAAGTGCTCTTCCTGTTTCCCGAAGGGCACTAATGTTCAGACAGGAAGTAACCCACCACAGCCCCCCCTCCCCTGCTGACTGAGAAGATGAGATAGTGACCCCCCACTCCCAAGCCCCCCCAGGTTTACTTCATCATCTCAGTTAATGATGATTTACTGCTGGAATTTCTCACCATTAAAGAGGAACATCAGCTCTGTCGGCACCGCCATCTTTGGTTCTGTGGTTCTGATTTTGTAGGGACACTCTGGGTCAGAATCTGACCTAGTTTTGTTCATGTTAAACTAATTGTTTTTTGTTTTGTTTTAACTCATTAACAGACAGCACAAAACCAATAAAAGTTTGTTTTAAAATAATAGTTTCCTGCAATGATGGAAAGTAACTAAGTACATTTACTCAAGTACTATGCTGAAGTACAGCTGTGAGCTACTTTACTAGTCCATGTTCTACTTTCTCCATCCACTTCACTACATTTATCGTACAGCTTTTTTAAAAGATCAAGATTTTACCTAAATATTAAAACTTATTTAACATACAACACATCGTCACAGATTCCTGTCATATTCAGTATTTAGTGAAAAACAAATCAAATGAATTCAGTGTTTCACCTGCTGGTCGGTTTCAGTGGTTAGGATGAGGGTTGTCTCCGTGTCAGGGATATATATATATACACACATACATATTTTTTTTAATATATAGGGATATACAGAGATATTTATAATTATCAAGAATTAATGGGCACAAAAATAGCACAAAAGGATGCAAAATGACCACAAAGAGATAGAAAATGACCATAAAATGACGCAAAAGTCATAGAAAAAGAGGGAAAATGCCAACAGAGTTACAAAACAACCCCAAGGAGCACAAAACAACCACAATAAAGTTCTCTCTTCATGTGGATTCTGCTGCTGTTTGATGCTGCAAGTATTTAATTTACTCAGAGGAAAGATTCCTAAACAGCTGGAAGCAACAAACTCAACTCAAAACCTGAGAATTATTGGCAGGTTTCATTAGTCTGGCCTGTTACACATTCCGTCTTCATTGGATTTTGTGGACATTTACATTTAATGGATGTGAAACGGAAGAGCAAAGACAAAAAAGGAAGGACGCAAAACGACCACAAAGAGACAGAAATGATCGTAAATATACCAAATTAACAGCAAGAGACAGAAAATGAAAACAGAGTTAGAAAACAATCTGAATAAAGTCGCTGCTGTTGTCTGTAAAAACAGAAATTCTCTCCACATCTGGATGCTGCTGCAGGTATTTAATAAACGTAGAGGAAAGACTCCTGAACAGCTGGAATCAACAAACTAAACACAACTAAAGTCATTGCTGCTGTTTCACTGATGCGGCCTGTTACCGACTATTTTTATGGACATTTCAGTTTATAACAGATGTGAAACTGAAGAGCATAGAGAATGAGGGAGATTTTTAAACTGTCTTTTGCTCAACATTGATGTTAAAATGTATTTTAAAAAATCACTTCACACAACGATACGTCTCTCATGGGATCGCTGTTGCAACTCCAAGTGAGCAGGACTTCATCAGACATGAAGCCAACGCGTTCAGATGCCGTCAGATTAACAGAAAGGTCTGAAAGGGGCTCAACAATAATTCAATAATTCCTGTCAGAGAACATCAGATCCACATAAACCTCCATCTGCCGATCAAGTCTGAAGAGAACTGTGTGAATGTGGCAGCGATCCTGATCGATGCGCTGATTTCCACTTGTTCTTAACTGACACAGCAGCAGTGACCTTTAATTAAACCCACAGTCGGAACACAAACCCACACTCTCACTAGAACAATGGTTCCTAACCGGTTCCTCAGAAAGCTCTCCGTCACGTGGTTCCTTAAAATGCTAAAGGTTCTGTGTTTTTATTGGAGTTATTTGGTGGCAGCAGGGGCTGCAGGGTGGCGCAGTGTTGGTTAGCACTGTTGCCTCGCAGCAAGAAGGTGGCCAGTTCACATGTGTGGAGTCTCCATGTTCTCCCCGTGCAGCGTGGGTTCTCTCCGGGCTCTCCGGCTTCCTCCCACAGTCCAGAAACATGCTGAGGTTAATTGGTGATTGTAAATTGTCCGTAAGTGTGAATGTCAGTGTGCTTGGTTGTCTGTCTCTAAGTGTAGCCCTGTGATAGACTGGTGACCTGTCCAGGTGAACCTGCCTTCACTCTAAGTCAGCTGGAATAGACTCCGCCCCCCATGATGCGGATTAAGCAGTGTATAGATAATGGATGGTGGCAACAGGAAATTAGAGCTGCAACTAACGATTATTTTCAATATCTGCAGATTATTCTTTCAATTAATGATCGGTTTATCAAATCTGAAGCTTGAAACATGTTGTTCTGTCTCACCAAGAACCCAAAATATGAAACGGGATCTCATGGGAGGAGCCCAGAAAAGCTGCAAATTCCTAAATTTAAAGCTTCTCTGAAACAGACATTTTTAATATCAGTGATTGAATTACGCAAAAAGGAACGTGAACTGAAGACTGATGTGTTTGTTTGTGAACCAAGTGGGTTCACAAATAACCGTCCTCAGAATAGTTCTATACAGGACTGTTCATGAGTCAATAAAACACCCGTTTGTCAAAGAAAACTACAGTTCTTCTGTGTCATCACTGTGGAGAACCTCTCTTGGTTCCAGTCAGAACCTTTACTGTTCTCAGTGCTGGTGAGGCGTCCTGCTGCTGTTATTGAGCGGCTTCCTGCAGACTGACTGAGCTGCTGCTGCTTTACATTCACACAGATTCTGTTCACGTGTTTCTATCGCTTCAGTTTTCTGTTCAGGTTTTTTCTTCACTGCAGGTTTCTGAGTCCTTCAATTATAACATAAACTAAAATAAAATACTCTAAAAATACACACTAAGATAAAAACGGTCAAATCTGATGCTTTTTTGGGTCAAAACCAGAATAACTGTCATGAAGCTGCTGCAAAACTGAAGGAGTGAATTCAAATAAAACTGATGAGAAAAATCACCTGATTCATGTTTGTGTTATTGTATGAACCACTTTGTGCTTGTGTGACACCTGCTGTACATGTACAGTCTGATTGGCTGATTGATTGGCTGATTGATTGATTGATTGATTTTGTCAGCTCCTGGGTGATGAAGTTGATCCGGTGTTCACGGTTCTGTGAGCAGCAGAGTGACAGGAGGAGGAGGAGGGGGCCTGCTTCAATAACGTGATGCGATAATGATGATGATGATGAAGATGATGATGATGATGATGATGATGACCCCCCCTCCTCCCCCCTCCTCTCTGTACCGGAGCGTCTCTCCGGTTGAACCGGATCATTCGGAGGCTCCGCTCGTCGGGTTCTGGATGAATCTTCATCCTCCGTCGTGATGCAGCTCAACACCTCTTCCTCCGCCGCCTCCTCCGGTTCTCCTCCCCCGGTGTCTCTGGAGGACGGCTTCCTCTTCCCACCGAACGGCTCCGGTAACGGCTCGGAGCCGGGCGGCGGCGCGCCGTCGGCGGGCAGCGCGGCGCTCATCTCGTCCATCTACTCGGTGGTTTGTCTGGTGGGGCTGAGCGGGAACTCCATGGTGATCTACGTGATCTTCCGCTACGCCAAGATGAAGACGGCCACCAACCTGTACCTGCTGAACCTGGCGGTGGCGGACGAGCTGCTGATGCTCAGCGTCCCGTTCGTCGTCACCGCCGCGCTGCTGCGCCGGTGGCCGTTCGGCGCCGCGCTGTGCCGCGTCGTGCTCAGCGTGGACGCCATCAACATGTTCACGAGCATCTACTGCCTCACGGTGCTCAGCGTGGACCGGTACATCGCCGTGGTGCACCCGCTGCGGGCGTCCCGGTACCGACGGCCCACCGTGGCCAAGCTGGTGAACGCGTGCGTGTGGCTGTTCTCGCTGCTGGTCATCCTCCCCATCATCCTGTTCTCCTCCACCGCCCCCAACTCGGACGGCTCGGTGGCCTGCAACATGCAGATGCCGGAGCCGGAGAGGCGCTGGATGGCGGTGTTCGCGGTCTACGCCTTCCTCATGGGCTTCCTGCTGCCGGTGCTCGCCATCTGCCTCTGCTACGCGCTCATCCTCAGCCAGCTGCGCGCCGTGGCGCTGCGGGCCGGCTGGCAGCAGCGGCGCCGCTCCGAGCGCAAGATCACGGTGATGGTGACGGTGGTGGTGTCGGTGTT